AAAACAAGTTGTTTGCATCCTCATTGATTGTCTCAGTGTGACCAAAGAACCCCCTTTTGTGTTGCTCATTGGGCATGAACACATTAAGGATCTGATTGATGCCTACAGTGCTGGCCTGATAATTATACAGCAAAATTGCTGCATTCAAGAGAATCTTCCTTTCACCTTGCTCCTCATATCTGATCCTATCCTTCAGCCGGGGAAACTGTCCTTGGATCATCCGCATCCCCCACTCAGCAAGCTGTCTCAATGAAGTAGCCTCACGATTAAGGGATATTGCATCTCTAGCAGCTGCAATGCCTACAATGTGAAGGTCGGGATCCTGTTGGGAACTCCTTACGAGATATGGCTTCCCCATCATTTTGAATGCTGAATCAACCACTACCTTTGCTCCATGCAAGTCGTACATCTGCTCCATCTTCCTGTACACTCCGTACTCTGACATGGTGCTATCATGCCAAGACCCAGGACAGTTGAATGTTGTTGCCCTAATTTTGCCATCCGGGGCAAAGACAAAGAGGCTGTTGACACATGTATCATAACACCATCCGTTGTAGAACATGTTCTGTACTGTCCAGTCAGAAGCTTTCTGTAGCTTGAGCTTGAGGCCATCTGCAGCGCCCCACACCTTTTGCTCTCCAAGCAGAGGGTATTTCTCCCCAATAGCCTCAATATAAGCATGGATCTCCTCTCTGGCGGGGGCTTGGATCCTTGCATCTGGATGGTCTTGCAAGACAAAGACAAGAATACACCTGGAGAATTTGATCCACTTGTACATTACTGCCGATGTCAGACCAAATGCCATGGAGAGGCCTCTTGCTACTGAACCTCTGGTCCTGAACCAGTGCAGGGTCAATCCAAGACAACACAAGGCAGATGCTTCACGCTGTCGGCCCTTTGGGGTTCCATTCCTGTGGAAGCTCCTCATTCTAAGCCGGCCTGTTGCTTCATCAATCATGTACATGTTGAATATTGGTGCATACATTGCCAGTAGTCCCCTGAAAATCCTGTGGTCTACACCACAACAGTTTAGAAGGGCTTGCTCATTGCCAGAGCCGTACAAGTGAAGGAAAGGAGACTGACCCCACCTCCTGATTGCAATCCTTGGGTTTCTCCTATCCCTGCGCTGTCTTTCCTCTGGAGACAGTTCTTTGTCTAGCTCATTGTGGAGAGCTAGGCATAGGACGATGAATTCTAGTGACATTGTCGGCGTTGTCGGGGGAGTCGATGTTCCTTGCTGATTGCGTGTCAATGTTCCTTTTTAATGAAATTTGCCAGCAAGCAACGATGCCCATTTAATGCAGCAATTCATCTTTTTCAGTTCCGACCGGACACTGTAATCGTGACACTTTAGATTTGTTTTGGCGCGCTTGATTTTGTGACACTGACACAGTCGTGACACTTTAGATTTGTTTTGGCGGGCTCCCCCGACTTGCTGACACCATGTGTTCTCAATACTTTGTGTTTCGGAACCCCCGAGAATGCAGTTATTTTCTGTTAATTTCAAGCAGAATTCCCTATTCCAAATTAAGCACATGTAGCGAGACACAGTCTATGACACTCAAATCTATGTAGTCAGCTTTTTATTCCCGTTAAGTCATAGATCCGATTTACGTCAGCATAGATTCTATGTTTACGGGAATCACCCATTGATTGCACGTACAGTAAAGAAGTATGGTCCCTACCGTACGTACGGTACGAACAGTTCAGTAGTACAGTCCGGGTAGTACTCGTATCAGTTTTNATGTGTTGCTGGTTGATAATTTGATGAACTTCAAACGCAATGCGAAGTTTCAAGCTTCTTTCATCGAGACCTGACCAAAGAACATGAAGATATTGGGTGATTCCCGTAAACACAGATCTATGTAATATTGAATTAGAGTTCAGTCGTGCACACATAGATCTATGTCTTTTTGACACTCATTGAATTAGAGTTCAGTCGTGCACACATAGATCTATGTCTTTTTGACACAGATACATAGATTTTTGGTCCAGGCAGGCTCCCGACAACCAAAAGTATGCAAAAAAGACATAGATTTTTTGGAATCGTGGATTCAAAATTCATTAGTCACGAGCAGGGGGAGCCAAAAATGGTGCGCCAAAACATATCTAAAGTGTCAGCAAGAGCCGGGGGAGCCCGCCAAAACAAATCTAAAGTGTCACAAAGCGTGCCAGTAAACCACGACCAGTTCACTATACAAAATCTGAAGTATAGCTAGCATCCTCACTAAAAGGACCACGGAAGACAAGGAAGAAGCCTGATGGAGTCATGTCAACATGAATTAGGATAATTGAGAACCCTGAGAACCCCCCCCCTTCCCCGGGGGAGGAACTGGTTGGAATGTAGTGAAACGCGTGTAGTTTCCGGCATCTATTCCGACACAAAAAGAACAGCATTGATTTGCATGCAGCAAATCACATGTAGTTTCCGGCATCGATTCCGACACAAAAAGAACAGCATCGATTCCAAAATCGATTTGTCCGCAAGAAGATGGTTTTAACGAGACAGGGACACCAGCAACCGCCGCTGGAGGCAGGAGGACTGGTGCAAGAAGGAATGGTACAGTGAACTACACCACTCAGGAGACCAACGACTTGATGTACACCATCTTGGCAAGGCTTCCTATTGGGACTGACCAGTGGAATGAAGTGGAGGCAACTCATCTTGAAAAGTACCCTGATAACAATAGGGACATTCATTCCATTCGAAGGAAGTTTGCATCCCTTCATAGGAAGAACATTCCTACTGGAGATCCTCACTGTCCTTTAGCAGTGAGACTTGCCAAGAGGGCCAAGCGCTTGATTGGAGAGAAGGCTGATATTGGAGATGGAGAGGAGCACTTTGATATTGAAGAAGGATACGTGCATCCCAATGGAAGGAATGGTGATCCTGAGGGTAATCATCGAGCTCCTCCTTGTTCTGTTGGAATCAGCAATAGCAGCAACAACAGTGGCAACGTTAGTCGTGACAACAGCAGTGTCAACAGCAGTGCTGGTGGCAACGTTAGTCGTGACAGGAACAACGCCGACCCACCCCCGCAGCTAGCAGTACTCCAACAAGCTTCCCAAGAAACAGGAGTTTCTCAACTTACTCAGCAGGAAGAGGTAGTTCCACCACCAATTGTTGCAACTGCAAGAGCTGTTACACCGACAAGGAGAGGAGCCCCTCGTGTCCGTTCTTACAACACGGCCACCGCAAAGCGTGACATTGTAACAGCGTTACAGGACTGTGTTGCACAGCGTGAGAGAGCTGCTGAGAGAGCCAGGGAAGAAAGGCAGGAGGCCTACCAGGCAATTGGAAGTGCGCTTGGATCCCTTGTCACCATTGCCATGCAGCACTTCAGTCCAAAGGCTGGCCGGAAGAGGAAGAGGAATAGTTGCTCCAGAAGCAATGAGAGCAGTGATGATTCCGAGGATTCCGACGATTCCGATTAGCACCAGCGCATCGATTCCCATTGTCGCGTTTACATTTAACTACATTTAATTTATCTAATTTTATTCATTACTAATTCCCATCTTCCATTTGGTTCATACTGATACTGACTGCTGCATTATGGAGCAAAGCGTTTGCAGCGTTAGCAGCGTTAGTGGAGGATTAGAATAACTCCTACGCGTTAGCTCGTGTTGTTCAGTACTGATTCTACACAGTCTTCCGTACATTTTGAATTTTTTAAAGTCAACGCACGCCTAAGAACTCAACGGACCGCACGTAGTCCCGCCAAATCTTGCAATAATTGGATTATATCGCATCATGAATATTTCTTACTGATTCTATTCCCGCCTCCTTATGGGATATCCAACATGCATTGCTTTTATTAATTATATTCAAAATGTATATTTCTTATTGATTCTATTCCCGCCTCGTTATAAGGGAATCTACGAATTTCAACGCTTCAACGCTTAGATTTTCAACGCTTCAACGGACAAATAACACGAAATATCATGTACTAAATCCAACTTAACACGGTGTAACGTGTAGCTTTGCTCTTTTAACACGGTGTAACGTGTAGCTCTGCTTTTCGCTCCTCCACCATGGAAAGCTCATTGTATGAATTAGTTTACACCTGATTGCTTGTGCTGTATATTGGTTTAAAATGGAACGTTGCTGGGTGCTGACTATGGGAATCTTCTGTGTTGTCAATGTTGATTGAAAATGGTGGGTGCGTATCCTCGTTGTTTGCGTATCGTTGTTTGCGTATCGTTGCTTGCGTATGTATCATTGTTTGCGTATCGATGTTGCCTATTGCTGTGTGTATCGTTGTTGCGTATCGGTTTGTTCTTGCGTATCCTCGGTTCTTTGCTGGGATGTATCGATGTATCGTTGTTGCGGCTACAGCTGTCGTCTCACCAAAACAAGTTGTTTGCATCCTCATTGATTGTCTCAGTGTGACCAAAGAACCCCCTTTTGTGTTGCTCATTGGGCATGAACACATTAAG